CAGGCTCAGGCAGCAGGCTCAGGCAGCAGGCTCAGGCAGCAGGCTCAGGCAGCAGGCAAAGACTGCAGGTTCAGGCAAGCGCACGACTCACGGGCGGCTAAGCGCTCAGGTCGAGGCAGTGGCGCACAGGCAGGGCAGGGCACGCGCTGCTGCGGGCTGCGCGCGGCAGCGGGCTGCGCGCGGCTGCGGGCTGTGCGTGGCAGCTGGCTGCGCGCGGCGACGGGCTGCGTGCGGCTGCGGGCTGCGCGCGGCGACGGGCTGCGCGCGGCTGCGGGCTGCGCGTGGCTACTGGCTGCACGCGGCGGCGGGTCGCGCGTGGCGGCGGGCTGCGCGCGGCGCCGAGCTGCGCGTGACAGCAGCGAGCACGCGGGCGGCTAAGGCAGCGGGGCGCGCTAAAAAAAAATGCACGCGCGCATGCAGCCGAGGCGCGCGCGGGCAGCAGGCAAGGTAGGCACGTAGGTATAGCTGTAGGGAAAGTAACTCATGAGTAGGTGGGCCCCAATCTTAGGTCCTTAGGACCATTGCTCTAGATGCCATGTTGAGATAGCTAGGCAAGGTGAGGTTCACTATCGAGAGAAATGGTACAAATAACACAACCCTAAGGAGTTATCCCCTATAACATCTACCCCACTACAGCCTACCAATATATATCACACATATATATCATTTGACATCATCCGCCACCAAGAGCACCTCGAAACGCTTGTTGATAAGCGTCTCGACTTGCGCCACGTTGGAGAGCGCTCCCTCGACGTCGCCGTTTTGGAGTTTGAACTCGACGTGTCGCAGATGTGCTTGAATTGCAGAAAAAACCTCTGCCTGGTCACGCACTCCCTTGCGCATGAAGGTAGTAGCTGCGGGTGAAGGGTTGAGGGGAGGAAGGGGAGGTGCGGGTGCGAGAATGCGACGACGAGCAAGGTTGTCGGGGGCCTCACCATCGTCATTGTCAGAGTTGTCGCTGTCGTCAATTGCGGGAGCTTGAACTGGTTCAGGAGCCGGGGCGGGTGCAGCGGCGGCGGTGGCGCGAGCGACCTTGGTGGTGCGAGGGGTCGCGACGGCTTCTTTCTGCTTTTCCGTTTTTACGGATGCAGAATTGTAGTCGGTCGATGTAGCAATTGTACCAGGCGACTGCTGCTGCAATATCGAGAAAATCGCCTGCAGCTGCTGCGCAGTCAAAGGGGGGAGGGCGTTGACTTGCGCGACGTCAGCAGAGGGTGCCGCGCGCTGGCGCTTCTGCGTCGTGGGCCCGAGTTGACCCGCGTCAGCCGCGGTCAAGACGGCGGTCGCGTCAGCGGCCGCCGTCGTCTTCTGCAGCGCGCGTGCCTGCCTGCCAGGCACGCGCTCTTCAGCAGTCACACGCGGTTGCACAGCAGCCGCGCGTGTGTCTTCTGACGCAGCGCGAAGGGTGCCTCCGAGCAGGAGGTCGACAGCCGAGGGTCCCTCGGCAGAAATTTCTTCTGCACTCCGTTTTCCGCGACGATCGGTTGCCCCGGCGGGAGTTGAAGTTTCCGCCGCGTTACCGGGGCTTGAAGTAGTAGCGTTGTCGCGGTTAAGCGCCGAGTTCGCCGGAGCCATGTTAGCTAAGTTACGCTGAAGGATATCGTTTAGGAGTGTTGTCGGGGCTGTGAAGCGCGGGAGAGATTGTGTCTTCGCCAGAGTGACGAGAACGAGAAATTAGAACTACAAACTGAGAAATGAAAACGTGGGTGGGGACGAATGTCCCCACGTCCCTCTTTTGTAGGCAAAAGAGGGCGAGTAGCGCTTCGGCGCTACCTTTGCTGTGCTGGCCACGTACCCCTTTTCACAATACAAAATTTTAGAAAGTGTTACATTTCATTACACTTTCAAAAATTATCATTTATTCTTTTCAGCGTTTGTACAATTACTGTACCACTTATAAAAGTATTCTTTCTTGCTAATTCAGTGCTATACGCACAAATACCGTAAAATTGCAACTCTTCCAGCATCTACAACTACTAAACAATTATTAGGAACCAAATGCACCTTTGACAAGAGAGTGCAAAACTACCGCACCGTACATATTAACTTTCCGCGAGATCCCACTCACCCCACATTGACCATTTGCTATGGCCAAGTATCAGGCGGTTCAAAGCGAACTGCAAGTACGGTAACCGCCATATAAAAGCATCGGTAAACTCTCTGTGATGCATGCCACATACGTACATAACCTGGTGCCAAATTCCCCTCCTCTCCCCTGTTCTCCCCAGTTCCCCTGTACCCACCCCCCACCCCCACCCCACCCCACTCCACCCCCCTCCCTCCGCCCATCCTCCTCGGCTGCCCATCCCCTGCCTGTCCTAGCAATGACCCTGCCTCTTACAATGGGAGCATCTCAAAACCCGCAACCCTAAGCACAACCGTCCACAACCGGTGGATCTGGGCCGCTCGATTCCTCCGGATCCACCATCTCGAAAACAGAGCCGTCGATCTCATCACAGGGAGCAGTCGAGTGCCTCTGAAGCTGCCGCGGCTGCAGCTGCCTTGAAGCCATTTTCTTCCCTCCAAATAGCTCCACCTGCTCTTCATTCTCCCCCTCTTCCTCCTCCCCCTCCCCACACCTCCGTTCTCTGTAAGATGAGTAGGACGGGGCTCCAGTTAACCCGCTGAACTGCCTCAGCGCCACACGTCCACTGAGTTGCCGCAGCTCTGGCAGCGGTTTCAATTTCGGTGCTGCTGCCACTGTGACCCCCTTCGCCCCAAACCTGGGCCAACTCGGGCAGGGGACCCAGCTTGTGAAAATGATTTTACTTCGGTGTTGTTTTCCTGATCTACACCGCTGACAGACGCAGCTGCTTGCAGCAGGGACGGCTGTAGCGTGAACGCTTGTAACGGGGATGGCTGTAACGGGGATGAGCCAACCCGCCCCACTACCCGCCCGCCCCCTCGCCTCCGATTCGCCCCGCTTATTCCCGCTCCCGCGCTCTCGCCGCTGACGTGGGCGGACGAAGCGGACACGGCGCGCGGGAACATGCTCCGCGCGGCTCTTTGTCGCGGGGTCATCGCCCCGCCCCCGCTAAACCCAGAGCTCGGAATCCTACCCATCGGAGAAAGCGGCGCGTTCCCCCCGCCGCTCCCCCCAGTTCCTGGGCTTTCATCCGCGGGCGCGCTGTGGGAATGGGGGAATGCGCGGACTGGAACCGTAGTGGTATCAGTACAAGCAGCACCACCATCAGCACCACCATCAGTAGCATCAGCAGCAGACGCAGCAGCAGATGCAGCAGCAGACGCAGCAGCAGAAGCAGGAGAAGCAGAGGTAGCAGAAGCAGCAGCATCCGCATCAGTAGCATTGGTACAACCGGCACCACCACCAGCAGCGGAGACGGTTTCCGAAGCTTCTGACAGGCTCAGTCTCGACTCGGAATCAGGCCTACGATTTCTCTCCGGGTTACCAGACGAGGTGTTCGTGAAGGACCTTCGCCGTGCCCTGTTCGATCTGGGAGTGGCGAGGCATGGGTAACTTTCGCCACTGCTGCTGCGCGAAGAGATCACAGGCGGCAGCCATGGCAGACGGGCCGCGTCGGCTCCATGAACGTCGTCCTTGTCCGTTACATTGTCCCCGCTACTAAAACTCGATTTTATGCGATTGCCGCTGCTCGTGCTACTGCTAGCAGACGACGGTGACGGCATTGGTGCTGCGACGGCGCCGCGGCTGTTACCGCTGTCGCACAAGTCGCCTTTAATCGTTCCCCAGCCAAAGCCTTCCGCCATGATTCCGTGCGCGCTAGCCGCGAGCGCCCAGCTTGATCGTCTGGAGGCGGACGCTGCAGCGGAAGCGGCATTTCGCGGAGAAGGAGCGCCGAATGCCGGGGGGACTGGCGGAGCGGCGAGCGCAGCGCTGATTTGCTCCTCGCTGAGCCACGCGGGTCGCGATACGGAAGAGGCTCGACGGTGCTTCGACGCGCTGCGGCGAGCTGGAGGATCGGCAGGTTTAGCGCAAAAATCTCCTCCAAGGTTTCGGCATTCGCCACTATTTTTGCTGGCGTCGCCTCGCGTTGCCTGCGCAATGGAAAATGCAGCGTCGCCGGTCTTGGCATGCTCTTCGGGAGGCTGAGTTAAATGACACGCATCGGCCGCGTTCGTGGCCGGAACCGGATTTCCGTCGCCTGGAATTTGTAGCCGAGCGACATTGGGCCGTTTCATGGAAACGGAACCTAACGACGACATGAGGACGGCAGGTGGTGAAATTTTATGTTTGCAAGTTAAATGTGCGTGAAACAAAAGAGGAGCAGAGATCGCTGCTGAGGGAAAGCTCAGAAATCAACTAATGCTCGGTGAACTAGGTCATAAGAGTAAGGCGACTTGACAAGAATCCTGGCCGGGCCGGGTGCATGACCTGGAAATTGCGAAGAACGGAAATATGTGAAGCTCGAGATTTAGAAAGAGGAAGCTTGGAAGGAAATGGAAGAAAAGGTGCTTGACGAAGGGGATGCATCGGGTCGGGGCAAACACCCTGAAGACCAAAGCAGTGGCCTGGAAATGTGGAAGATTAGGCCAGGAAACGACGGAAAATGCCCCTGAAATATGAACTGCTGAAGGGATGTTCTCGCAACTTGGATGAATCTGCCCGTCAAAGCTCATCAAAAGTGTTTGCAATGCACAGTTCGCCCACAGGCAGGGAAGCCCAAGCCAGCTCCACAGTGTACCCACTCGCCACTCGCAATTGCCGTCCGTCCACCCCCCCAGCCAGGAATGCCTGGTCAAGAATGTACAGTACTTCAACTCAGGAAACGGCAGCGAATACAGGTGGAGAATTTTTTTGGAAGTTAGGAGAACCCGAGTTGAACGACAACTTGTAGTTGGACAACCAGGGGTTACGAGAAACAGAAAAGGAAAGTCTCGTCGAAATAGACGGGGAAATAGCAGAAAGTGCCCAGGGTAAAAAGGGATATTACCCTGGCTAATTTTCTACTTACATTCCTTTGCGCTCAGCGCAGCGCATCACATATACCGTAATACGGGTATCACCTACTTCTGGCTCTCTAAAAACCAACAAAGAAAGAACTGAAACTGGTGATAGAAGACGCATTTTCCTTTCTCATTGAGCCACCTCCTCCCCCAGTTGCCTTGGCTTGCTGCTGCCACAAAAATGCTCCAGGGCTATTGGAAAACAAGCGCACACCCAAACTCATGACGTTCTGTGGCAGCTGTTTCGGAACGTGTGGAGCACTCGTCGGCACCTGGGCAAGCCACAAAATAAATAAGTTTATACAACATATTACAAAATGTGGATGCACTGAAGATAAACAATCACATATGAATGAAGTTGGATATAAAAAAGAAACAGGAGGAGGGGTTGGTGGCAGGAGGAGGAAAAGGTGGTAGATGGAGGGGGTCACAGTGATTAAATTAAATGCTGCAATAACCAGTGATATACATGCCATTCATGAATATCAACTGCATGAAATGCATGTATTTCATCGTGCCTCCACAGCACAAGTACTTACATAACAGGCAATGGAGGTTGGATCTCGAAGAACACTCGGAGGAACCCAGCCCCGCGTTGCCGAACCTGCTGCAGCCCCGTTCCGAGCCTGCGTGCCTTCTCTAGGCTCGGCAGCATCCAAGGCTAAAGCAGGCTCAGGAATCCCACTAATTTCCCGAAGCTCCCTCAACTCCTTGAGGAATCTCTTCTGCATGCAACAAAGGGGAGATTGAGAGAGAGAGAGTAAAACTCATCAAAATGTTTAAGGCAAGTGGTGTTTATTGCTCTATAGGGGCAATCCTAAACCCTAAACCCTAGTAATAACAACTTTCAAGAACGACAAGCAGTGGAAGGGACACCACCGCATGCTGAACAGATTAAGATATGACGGGTTGTTTGGCATTAGCATTCCACTCTGCTTGCACTAGCAATGCTCTTTGTAGACGCACCGGAATGCTCGATGGCGCTTTCGCAGGTTTTTCTAATGTCCCGTCCACCATGCGGTTACCACCACCACCAATGTTCCCCTCCTCCCTTTGTGCCTCCTCCCCTTCACCCTCCTCCTCCTCCCCTTCACCCTCCCCCCCGCCGTCTGCATCATTCTCCCCTGCCTCTCTCCCACCTCCTCCTGCCCCCCCTCCCGCCCTCCCTTTGCCGCCCTCCTCCCGACCCTTCCCCGAGCCTGGACCTCCCGAACCTCCTCCGCCATCTTCTCCATTCTCTTGAGCCGCATCGTCGTCCGCGTCATCATCCACGTCATCCTCCTCCTCATCCACGTCAGCAGCTTGTAACTCCTCCCCCTCCTCCTGAACCTCCTCCTCGTCCTCCTCATCCTCCCCCTCATCCTCAACTTCCTGTGTCCCCCCATTCCCCTCCTCCTGAACCTCCTGAGTGTCCTGAATCTCTTGAATCTGAGAACTCCTATATCCCTCCAAGTCAACTACCTGCCTGTCTCTTGCTCTCCCACCACCTCCCTCCCTCCTCCCTTTCTCTTCCACAACTACCACCTCCTCCCCACCGTCTGTACTCCTCCTCCTTCCCCTCACTTCCATAACCTCCACCTCCTCCTCTTCCTCCTCTGCTTCTCGATCCCTCATTTCAGTCACATCCTCTCCGCTCCCTTCTCCTGCCAGCTCAACAGAGGGCGTGGACACGTCAGCAGCAGCCCCACTGTCCAGAATCACCGGTTCTGCATCGTCAGCTTCGTCCAATGCCACCGCGGGGTTATCAGATGCCAGCTCAGCACCATCCTCGTCATCAGAATCTGCATCCAGCTCAGTAGCCTCGTCACTAGTGGCTGCAGCATCACCAGCTGTGCCAGCAGCTGTAGCAGCAGCAGTAGCACCAGTTGTAGCACCAGCAGAAACACCAGCCGTTTCACCCTCCTCCTCCTCCTCATCCTCCCCCCTCCTCCTCATCTGTTTCACACCCTCCTCCTCCTCCTCCTCCTCCTCCTCCTCCTCCTCCTCCTCCTCCTCCTCCTCCTCCTCTTCTCTCTCACCTTCTTGCCGCTCTAAACCCCTCTTTTCCTCCTCTCCCTTCCCTCCTCCCCCCTTCTCTTTCACCAAACCCCCACCTTCTCCCTCTCGCTCTTCTCTCGCCTCGTCTTCCTCCTCCAGCATGCCTTCCTGCGCTCCACTCTGCCCATTCCCTCTCCGCTGTGACACACCTTCCGCGACCCTTTTTTCCTGCCCCTTCCTGTCCTGCTTCCCACCCTCCTCCCCCTCCTGCTCCGCACCCTCCTCCTCGCTCTCATCATCCCCTCTCTCTGATTCAGTTGCCTCTTCAGAATCCGTCTCTGCATCTGAATCTGCTCGCCTCCCTCCGTCTCCCCCTCCGTCCACACGCCTATCCCTGTCTTCGCCCCTATATGCACGCCTATTTGAGTCTTCCCCCGAATCCGCACCTTCACTCCCATCTGTTTCCGTATCTGCAGGGGTTGTGGTAGCAGCGTCCCCCTCCTTAGCCTCTTGTTCAACAAGCTTTAAGCCCCTAACATTTCTTCCCCTCCTCTCTCCCTGTCCCCCCCTCTCTTCCTCCTCCCTCTCCTCTTCTTCACTCTTCTCCTCCTCCACCTTTTCCCTCCTGCTCCTCTTCTCTTCCTGTTCCCCCTCCTCCTCATCCCCCCCTCTCATCCTCCTTCTCCCCTTACTCCTCCTAGCCCCTTCCCCATCTCCCCCCCATCCCTCCTCATTCCCTTTGCCCTTCTCTTCCTCCTCCTCTTCCTCTTCCTCCTCCTCCTCTTCTTCCCTCCTCTCTCGTTCCTCCTCTCTAGCCCTCTCCTCTTCCTCCTCTCTCCTCCTCACCTCCTCCATCTCCCTCCTCTTCTGCAACTCCCGCTCTTTCTTCTCCTTCCTCCGCCACTGGTCAAGTTCCTTCTTGGAAATTTCCCTCCCAAACTCCAAGGTGCGTCTCTCTTTGCGTCGAATCCCCTCGCACACAACACAGGGGCACCCCTCTCTGTGAGACTGCGTGCCTCTGTGAGTTGAGCAAAAATGTTATGGGGGGGACACGAGAAAGCGGAAACATTATGGGGTATGTGTGTGAGAGCAAAACCCCATGTGTCACGAACAGGAAAACAACTCCCCGTTGAAAAATATTACACCATATATTTTTGAAAGAAACGTACAACAAGCAGCAATCACTCACTTCATGTTCGGTGCTGGCAATACTGCTGCAGCTGCTGCTGCTGGTGACAGTGTTGGGCCTACTCCTTTCTCTCTCGCTGCTATTTGGTCGATCCAAAAACCGGAAACAAGCACTCACTTCTTTTTTGAAACTGGCGATGGTGCTGCTGGTGACGGTGTTGGGCCTACTCCTACGCAAGTGCTGCTCACTGGAAGAAGGCCCGAAGATCTATTTGGGTCGACTCGAAACCCGTAAGCAAGCACTCACTTCTTCTTTGGGGCCGGCGATGGCGCTGCTGCAGACGGTACCACCCCTCCTTCTCCCCCCTCTCTGGGACTTGCAGCTGGCCTCCTTCCCCTCCTCTTCCTAACCACAGACCCCCCTCCCGCCTCTCCATCCATCCCCTCCTCTCCCTCATTGCTCGCTTCAGCAGCCCGCCCTCCTCGCCTTCTCCTCCTCTTCGCCTCTCCATCACCTCCTCTTCCTCCCCTCGACCCTTTTCCACCCCTTCCAACCCTTCCACCCCTCCCACCTCTCCCACCTTTCCCTCTTGTTCCGCGTTCTTCTTCCTCCTCTTCCTCCTCGCCCTCATTTGCGTTACCGCCCACACCACGTCTCACCTTATTCCCTTTCCCACGACGCCTCTCAACGTATTTCTCCTCCTTTCCATCCTCCCCATCCTCTTCCTCCTCTCTTTCTCCTCCGTCCCTCTTAACCTCTCGCTCCCCCCCACTTGACTCTCCACTCCCTTCCTCCTCACTCCCTTTCTCCTCCTCTCCCTCCTCCTCTCCTCCACTGTCCTCCTTATTTGCGTCCTCGCTATTACCATCCCCTCCTTCCTCTCCTGCAAACACCCTATCCCCCCTCTCCGCTCCTCTCATCTTGAACTCTCTTCTCCTCCCCTTCAACTCCAAATGCTCCCCCTCCTCATCCCCATCTTCCTCCCTTCTCTTCCCCCTCCTATCCCTCCTCAAACCAGCCACTCCCTGCCTCCCTCCCTCTCTCCTCCCGTCACCCCCTCTCTCACCTCTCCCTTCCGCTCCTTCCCCCGCTTTCACGATCGGTCTACGCTTCCGACTAACCCGCGCCCCATGCGCAATCCCGTCTTCGCTTTCCCCCGATAGATCGCCTTCCGGACTTCCCGGGCTCCCCGGTTCCCACTTTCCCCTAAAAATAGGTCGTCGCTCTCTTCCCCCTCCGCCGCCGCCGCCGTTACTGTCCCCGCCGTTCGTTCCGCCGCCGTCTCGGCTCCGCTTCGTTCTCTGCCTTTTCCGCGGAACGAATACGGCTTGCCCGCCGTCATCACCTCCGTCACCCCCTTCGTACGCGTCTGGCGAACCCTCGTTGTAGTCACCGTAAGATCGCTCCGGAGTTTCCGTTACTGTCATTCCCGCTCTTCTCTTCCTCTTACGCGGCAGAATCTCGAGCGACTCGGTATGGTCTCGCCCTGACGGCGATTCTCCTACTTCTGCCGAGCCGTTCCCGCTGTTATCCTCTTCTTCGTACGTATCATCTTTATGTGTTTCATCTCCTTGATGCGTTTCATCTCCCTCGGATCCCTCATCAATGCTCGGGTCCGAACCTTCAGCCGAAGCGGTGTTCTCATCGCCTTCGCCGCTCGACGAGTAATCCGCGGGATCGACTCGCGGCACGCGTGCGCGAACGATCTGTTCCTTCGCCAAGCTCGCGATCGGAGTCGTTCTTATCCTCGCCATAGTCAACCTTTGAACGTCACGCAAAGAAGAAGAGAAAAAGTAGGAAAATTGAGGAACTTATGCTGCCTCCACCGTGAGATGATCCTCCAGGGTTGTCGCGCCAGCCTGACAATCAGTGAATAAAATTACGCTATTATCAGGTTGCTGCGTCCTTACTCCTCGGGCGCAACAGTTGTGAGTGAGAATTACGGATGGGGGAGCAATAAAGTGCAATCAAAAAGCATATGATCGTGCAGGTTGTCGAGTGTCTCCTCAGCGAGTACAAAGAGCCGAGAAGCCCCCGGTTTGAGGAAGTCTTAGCAAGAACTTAGCTAAGTGCCATCTCCCCGGGTGTCGCGAAAGGCTTAGGGGAATAGAAAATACATGATTTTGCCTTGCGTGCACGTCAGCTTCCCGCCAGAACGGGGAGCCTGGAGGACCCGCCTTGGCAGTGGTTGGCCTAGGGAACTCCGAGTAGCCTGGCAAATTTGAAGATCCGTATCTCCCTGCTTAGGAGAAGACCTTCTTTTCAATGGCACTTTCTATTACCACTTTGAACCGCTTCCAAGGTCTCTAAACCATGATAGTCTAACACAAAAAGGCTTTCACTGCCCTGCTTGGTTCAGCTCATTTCTTCAGACAATGTGGGCCTGCTTTGTATGACTGTATCTAAGGCAAGCTTATTTTATGCTCTGTTTCATGTGTCGGGAATTTCGCCAGGCAGAAGACGAGCATAGAGGCATCGTGTTGCTAATCCTTCGCGGTTTCCAGCCGATTGATACGCTTTGAGATTTAGATTCAGACTCACAGGAACCGGTATTATCCCACACCATCCGTCAGTCTCGGTGAAGACACTCCGTACAATCTAGGGCATTCTTTGTCACACATTGCTTTCTTTTCGTCTGGTCTCAAATAATGGCCCACAAGGCCGATGACGAGTACGACTACCTCTTCAAAGTCGTGCTGATTGGAGATTCCGGCGTAGGAAAGTCCAATCTTCTCTCTCGATTCACCCGTAACGAGTTTTGCTTAGAATCTAAATCCACGATTGGCGTCGAGTTCGCAACGAGAAGTATCCAGGTGATTATTAGGTCAAAGAGAAACGCTGCTCTCCTGTTCCTTAGTCTCCATCCATCTCGCATAGTCATATGATTCTTGAATGTTGATCAAAGCCGTTCGCTTTTTTTGTGTTTGCTGATCGTATCCAGGTTGACGGTAAGACGATCAAGGCTCAGATCTGGGATACCGCTGGACAAGAGAGGTATCGTGCCATCACAAGCGCGTACTACCGGGGAGCAGTCGGCGCGTTGATTATTTACGACATCACGAAGCACGTGACTTACGAGAACGTCGAGAGATGGCTCAAGGAGCTCCGGGATCACGCGGATTCCAACATTGTGATCATGCTGGTGGGGAACAAGTCGGATTTGAGGCATCTACGTGCCGTTTCGACTGACGACGCTCAAGGATTTGCTGGTAGGTGGTCTTTCTCTCTGAGCAGATTCCACTTAGCGATTTCTAGAATTTCTATCATTTTTGATTGGGAGTGAGTCAATTAAGAGGCATTTACGTTCTATTTCGTACGACCACGCTCAAGGATTCCATGGTACGTGGCCCCTCGCTTAGCAGATTCCTGCATTGTGAACATTCTTAGCGGATTCTAGCATCGTGATCATGTGTGCTGGGGTGAGCCAGGGTTTGAGGCATTCACGCGCTTTTTCGTAAGAACTTTATGACATTGCGATCATTCTGACTGGACAAGTCGAATCTGAGGCATCCACGCACAATCTTGACTGGTAATGCCTGAGGGCTTGCTTGTAGGCAGTCTTTCCCCTCTCTAACAAGCTCCCCTCGCTCCACTCTCCCTCACACTCGTCACTCTCACACGCTCTCACCATACGCACACACACTCTTGCGCTTGCATGCTTAAACACGTACACACCCTGCAAACACATTGACACACATACACTCACACGTGCACACAGACATACAACAGACACGCATACTCACACATTCTGCACCTGCGCATGCAGCAGCGCCCTTTCAGTGCGTATCGTGCACCACGCACGCTCGTGGACTCATACATGACACTTCCTCCGGTACTGGGTCAAAACCATGGTACAGGCTTCTTGTATTCGCAATTGGAACTCTAAAAGCAAACTTTTGTGAGGAAGGAGCCTCATTTTCATGTACTGACAGGGATGTGTAATGTGCAGTAGCTTACACCCCCTTTTCTTCATCCCCTTTTCTGATACGGAAGTCCTCATTCATGAGGCATCGGCTCTAGGTTCATCAAATGTGGAGAACAAAGTCCACTGGGTTCTGACAGAGACCTTCTAGGTTGTGCAATGTGCATTATGTAACACAACCTTTTCCCCTTCGCTCCACAATCTTCAGATAAGGAAGGCCTCTTGTTCATCGAGACATCGGTGCTGGATTCATCAAATGACCTCACATTCCACTGGGTGCTGATGGAGACCTACCTGACTGTGCAGTTACTTACCGCCTCCCTTTTTGTCTCCCCTCCCGCATCAACTTTCCCTTACAAATTGCAGAAAAGGAAGGCCTCTCATTCATCGAGACATCGGCGCTGGATTCGACAAATGTGGAGAACGCATTTCACCGAGTGCTGACAGAGATCTACCGCATTGTGAGCAAGAAGGCTCTGGCTCAAGAAGAGGGTGCGACTGCAGGGCCTGGAGAAGGCACGTCTATTCTGGTGGGAGCAGATGCCAACGCCAACAAGGGGGGGTGCTGTTCAGCTTAGAATGCTGCTGGCAAGTTGGTGTACTACTGCTACGTTACATACTCTACTCTAATGATCTGTCAGTCTTGTAGAATTTGAGGTTTACGGTAGGAGTTACTGTTAGAATGATGGATATACGGTACAAGCAGTGCTAGGTGTATCATGTACTGTATGTATGGTCACATTTGCATTGAGACATCCATCCACTAGTTGGCGAAAAGGTATCTACCATGGCTTCTGGTACTGCACAGATGATCTGCACTAATACCGTATTGGCTAAACCGTACCGTGAATGCATGATGAATTGCCATTATGAGAAGTAAATATAATCCAGCCCTTCTTCCATGCACAGTGACTCTATGATCTCCTCGAACCCACCCCCAGTAAGCCCTCTTTTCACACATAAGAGCAGTGGCGGCCTTGCTACAGACCAATGGATTACTGGCACTGCCCTATTGGACTCGTGGTGTGTGTACACTCCTCTGGTTATCTTTTTTACATCCACATCACAGAAAGCAACCACCTGCAGCATGGGAAGACAGCAGGCCACCACACCCCCACCAGTAAGAACTACGGCAGCTATGTCCAGCAGAGAGGGCAGAGTGGAATGTTGCTGTGATATGTGATTTCTGAGTCGGCTAAACGATGTCATAACGACGTTGTGTTATGCAGTACCTTAGCTTGGTTTGATGGGGAGAGAGAGCGGTAGAGTCTCCTGCCCTCTTTGCCAGCATTCCAGATTGTGAGTTCTGACCAGCAGGAGCTGCTATGCCTGCAAACAAACGAAAAATGAGTGTCTTCTGAGCCAACTGAAGGCATGAATAGCGATTCTGCACAGAAAAACGACAATTACCATTTTGCGGCAAAAGAAAGAAATGTGGAGTCCTGAACGATCTACTTAGCAGGAAAGACGGGTGAGACACAAGATACTAAATCCCAAAAGAAATAAAGTTAGTTAGTAATGCCTAAAACTCGTGCGGGGTGCAAGGAATCATACCCCGAAAGAAGTTGCGCTTCAAGGTGTTTAACCCGCTGCTCCCAGATGCTCTCCCAGGGGCAGCCTCGCGAGCCTGTCACTGATGCCGTGTGAAAGCGATACGTCACTAGAGGCCGAGGCACCTGCAAGTGATGGAATGCAGCACAACAGAGTGGAAGCAACACAGCACAGGGCTCTCCCTCCCTGGAACGATGCTCCCAGATGCTTTCCCAGGGATAGCATCACAAGCCAGTCATTGATGGCGAGTGGGAGCGATACGTCACTATGGCTGAGGCACCTGCAGGGGAAATCAACAGAACACAGGGGAAGCGACACAGTACAGAGCAGCATCCTTAACACAGTATAGATTCTGAGACGTCTCAGAAGTCACAGTACAGAGCAGTATCCTTAGCACAGTATAGATTCTGTGTAATTGTTTAGTGACGTGGGTAGTGGATGGATGGGCAATGAGAGAACTCGCGGCAACCTCTCCCTTGCATGCAAGACAAATGCTCATGCCCACCTTGCCCAACCAGCCCCCGTTGCCCACGTGCTGGTGAAAGAACATGAGATCGTCAGGTGTGCCCGCTGTCACTCAAGGGACCTGGGGAGTTACTTTGACTCGAAGAGCACGAAAGTGCTTCACGTCAAATTCCCACCTTGCCCAGCCAGCCCCCGTTGGCCAAGTGTTGGTTCAGTTTCCCCACGGTTTACCCACATTCGCCTCTAGTGCTCACCTTGCCCAGCCAGCCCCCGTTAACCAAGTGTTGGTTCAGTTTTCCCACTGTTTACCTGCATTCGCCTCTAGTGCTCACCTTGCCCAGCCAGCCTCCGTGGCTCAAGTGCTGGTGGAAGAACATGAGATCGTCAGGTGTGCCCGGTCCACTCTCGTGAAAGGGGCCTGCAGAATGCATGTGCAAACGTGGCAGGAGTTGACTTTTGAGTCGACTCAAAAGTCAACCCAGTCCACTCTCGTCAAAGGGGCCTGCATGCAGAATGCATGTGCAAACGTGGCAGGACAAGATGCAGGTGGGGACAACGAGGGCGGTTCTTCTGATCAGGAGCTACACGAGAGCTCTTTTGAGAATTCTAAAAAGTCGCACAAATATTTCTGATCAGGTGCTACAGGAGAGCTCTTTCTTCAAGGGCTGCACAAGTCGCCTCACAAGTCCCCCTTGAGGCAATCTGGCCGGTTTCCACCAGCTGCTGCAAGAAAGCCCCTTACGGCGCAGTTGCAACCGAGATTCAAGTCTGCTTTTGAGTCGACTCAAAAGCAGACTCATAACACGTGGTTTCCACCAGCTGCTGCAAGAAAGCCCCTTACGGCGCAGTTGCAACCGAAATGTCGTTCAGAGGCCCGCAGCACACAAAGAACCGCATTGGAGCGCACACCTGAACCTGAAGCATCGAAGACTTGTCGGGAGCAGAACCAGGTGGGGGCGATGAGGGTGGTTTCCACCAGCTGCTGCTGCTGCTAGGTACGAAAGACTGAATCTAGGCACGAAGCAAAAGAAAGAGAAAGCAGGAGTGCGCACCTGAAGCGTCAAAGACCTGGCGGGAGCAGAACCAGGTGGGGGCGATGAGGGTGGTTTCCACCAGCTGCTGCAGGTACAGCTGCGTCTGTGAGAGGCCGTTGGCCCATGCTGTGAGTCTTGGCGTGGCATCCGCTGGCAGGCGAACGAAATTAGAACCCACCTGGATGGATGGGGGAAGGCAAGACGAACAGGAGGGGAGAGAGCGTTATAGCACACGGCTTCTGTCATTCCACCAGCCGCTGCTGAACGTACAGCTGCGGGTGTGAGACGGGCGTTTGATAATTCTGAATAGCAACACCAACCTAGCTGCACATACAGGCGCAGATGCTCGCAGGCGAACATCAAAGGTTTTTTTTTTTTTTTTTTTAATTTATTTTTTTCTTGTTCCGGTTAAGAGCGGCCTAGTCTTACCAATAGCTTGTCACTGCGTGAGGCAAGAGCAAGCTGTAGGGAGATTCGATCTGGAGCCATGACGTCATCCTGAAGGGATATTACGAGTATGAAGGATAAAAGGCATAGAAAGGGGTGGAGAACGGTGACGAAAAATATAGAATCATAATAACCAAGACATGAATGTCTACAATGTGCCTCTCGATGCGCATGTGCCTCTCCACTTGAATGTGCCTCTCCACTTGAATGTGCCTCTCCATGTGCATTGTGACGTGGTAGGGAGATGGGGACGAGTATTACTATGTACTACTAATGCTCACGTCCATGCTCCATGCCCTTTGGCCCTCGCCCCTCGCCCCTCGCCCCTCGCCCCTCGCCCCTCGCCCCTCGCCCCTCGCCCCTACCTGCGCATCTCACCCCTCGCCCCTACCTGCGCATCTCACCCCATCAGCGAAGCACAGGAACTCGCCACAGCTGTGCTCAATGGCTCAGTTGCGACCAAACCCACACCCCCTCGGCCAAACCCACACCCCCTCGGCCAAACCCACACCCCCTCGGCCAAACCCACACCCCCTCGGCCAAACCCACACCCCCTCGGCCAAACCCACACCCCCTCGGCCAAACCCACACCCCCTCGGCCAAACCCACACCCCCTCGGCCAAACCCACACCCCCTCGGCCAAACCCACACCCCCTCGGCCAAACCCACACCCCCTCGGCCAAACCCACACCCCCTCGGCCAAACCCACACCCCCTCGGCCAAACCCACACCCCCTCGGCCAAACCCACACCCCCAGATCCCATGCCCCTCGCCCCTACCTGCGCCTCTCACCCCATCAGCGAAGCACAGGTATTCCCCCCGGCTGTGCTTGATGGCTCGGTTGCGCCCGAACCCACACCCCCTCGGCCGGGTCCTTGGTTGCCTTCTCTCACTGGAACCTTCTGCGTTGCTTCTGCTGTCAGAAATATCACTGGCTTCAGGGCTCGCATTTACCAAGCCACCAACCCCATTGTAACCACTGCTTCCATCATAATCACCGCTCCCATTATGACCATCACCCCTGCAACCACCATCACCCCCACAGCTCCTGCTGTCAGTGTGTTGGCAGTACTCCGCGCTTCCTTTATCATCCTGGCAGCTATCAACTGCGGCGGGATCTGTCCGCTTGTCAAGGGCGGCGGCCTCTGTCCGTTCCTTCCGGGCGGCAGCATCTGTCTGCTCATCAACGATCTTCAAGGCGATGCCCCGGGCGGCAAGCACGGAGCGATTCGCCTCGAGGATGGCCCGTGATTGGTCGGTGCTCGGGCCGTCGTCAAAGACTAGGAGCTCCATGGGTCCTCTGTAACTCTGCACGCACATAGGTTACCACACGCTTGTTCTACAACATGCGTTACAGGACTGCGTGTTACAGCATATGCTACAAGCAAGCCCTTGAGGGGGTTAGAGTCACCTCCGAAAGAAGCTTCATATGCACATGGGTTACTGCACACATGATGGCAAAATGGCATGATGGGATGATGCTGGATTCATGGGATGCCTATTATACGCATGATGGTTGGCACCATGTCATGCCAGCACCATGTCATGACAGCACCATGTCATGACAGCACCATGTCATGACAGCTCCATGTCATGACAGCTCCATGTCATGACAGCACCATGTCATGACAGCACCATGTCATGACAGCACCATGTCATGACAGCACCATGTCATGACAGCTCCATGTCATGACAGCTCCATGTCATGACAGCACCATGTCATGACAGCACCATGCCATGACAGCACCATGTCATGACAGCACCATGACATGACAGCACAGCACCATGACAGCACCATGCCATGACAGCACAGCACCATGGCACCTTGCCATGCGCACCTGTGCTAGAATGGAGTCAATTGCTTCTTGCAGGAACGGCGCTGCGTTGTGGATCGGCATGATGATGCTCACCTAAAAAATGTGCATTCATGCATGTGCAGAATGCACGCATGCAGGGAAGCACATTCACATTTACAAGAACACATCTGGCAGGTCTACATTGGCAGCATGATAGACAATTCACACCGATGGAGCTCCCAAGGAAACACTTCAAATCATAACGTCACGTTCCCTCGTCCAGATTTCTCCGTCAAAAAAATCCGTCACGAATCTTCCGTCCCCCGTCTCTCACTCACCAACGGCATCTCACCATCCGACCAATCGCTCCCTGCCACGTCATCGAGGTTCCACGTCAGCGGTGCATCACGGGGAATGAACACCCGACTATCACGTGCGACTACCGTAACAGCAGCCTCATTGCACGGATGCGTGGTAGACACGTCAGCTGTGGTAGACATGTCAGCTGTGGTAGACATACGAGATAACGATGTGTGATAAGACCGTCCTGTGGTGAGGCGAGCTAGAAAACCGTTTGGAAAATGATTCGCCGCGCCTCCTAGATCCGCTATCCAGTAACAGCTGGGACCGAAACGTTACATTGTTTTACTGTAGAATATTTATGAGAATGGTAATCACCAGTTTCCAGTACGAGTCACAAGCGGGAGGAATTCGGGCCTCGCCCAGGTGAATTCGGGCGAGGCAATCGGTATACTCAAGGCAGCTCGCTTACGGAGCCTTTAGTGCGCCTGCACCTAGGTTCGAGCCGCGCTGAAAGGTGAAGTAATCTATTTCAACCAAGGTCCTTGGTGAAATAGCTGTTGAATTTCTCGAGATCTTCAGTGACTCCCGTACTGCTGGATCCGGCCTTTTGTATGTTTCAGTACTGACTTCCACATAGATATTAACGGATGACCATTAGTAGGCTAGTTCATAATCCCTTTTATTCCCTGTCATCCAACTTGTCGTGCCTTACTATCTCTCGGCATTTTTTGTAGGTTTTGTAATATGTCAAACGACCCAGTTAATAATGAATGCCTTTGTAAACAACTGTTCTATGAACGAGCACAAAATCATGTATGAGTGTTTTTTTCAATCTCATCATCCTTACCTGTCAGAGACCCAATCACTAACCACTGGGATAAAATGGTTTGTTTGTGTAGCAAGTGAGCACGCCCATACTCCTCCAGGCCGCCATGTCTGTAACCCTTCACTAGGATCAATTGGGGATCACCAAAGGACCTCTGGCACCCCCCGCACTGGGATGCCCGAGATGCACACACCGGGATTCAAGACCTTCGCTCTGATACCATGTCAGAATCCCAGTCACTAACCACTAGGATAAAAGGGCTTGTTTGTGTAGCGGGTGAGTGCGCCCATAACCTCCCATGCCGCTATGCCTGTAACCCTTCCCTAGGATCAATCGGGGATCACCAGTGGACCTCTGACACTACCACCATCCATCAACCCCTCTTTTCATACCCTTCGAAATCGTCTGATACACCTCCTTATACTTCACCAAAAGCCCACCCCTCCATAGCAAGATGCATTCTGTGACATCTCAACATCACACACCACTCCTCACCACCCCTCACGATCCCTCGACATCTCTCATCATCCCTCCCTCCAATCCATCATTCCCCCCTTCATACCCTTCGGTATCGTCTGCAAAATTTCTATCGCCTTCACCCACAGCCCGCCCCTCTGCAGTGCGCGCATGATAACAGCGAATGTGCTCATAGAGGGTACAAGCCCCCGTGCCAGCATATCCCGGTACACTTGCAGTGCTTCTAACGGCTCGCCAGCAGCATCACAGGCAGCCATGGCCATGTGGTAGGCCTCTATAGGCGCCTCTGCTGCTGCAATTTCTGCTGCCGCTGCTGCGGCTGCTGCAGCCGCCACTGCTTCTGCTGCTGCAGTTCCTTCTGCTGTTTCTGCTCCTGCTTCTGCTCCTGCTCCTACAGCTGCTGCTGCTGCCGCGGGCAAATCTGCTGACATGAGAGGCCCTTCCTTTATCTGCGTCTCATCTGCTATAGAAGCCTCTTTGGCAAGTACTTGGCGAGAAGGAGACTTCGAGTGCGTGTGGGAACAGGGAGCATTGGCCTGCAAGGTCTGCCTGAGGGTCCGATAGTCCTCTAGTAGCTGCTTCGCTTCTTGCCACAACCCTACTTCCTGCCACACATGCATATGCACACAGAAGATTTGGAATGAATGTTGGAACAAAAATTGGGGGCCTGCAAGGTCTGCCTGAGGGTCCGGTAGTCCTCTAGTAGCTGCTTCGCTTCTTGCCTTATACCCACCTCCTACAATAGAACATCGCGCAAACGAACGCAGACATATGCACACACAGAAATTGAGAACGGTTTTGCACGACTCAGAAAATATCCTGCTCAGATATGTCCATTTGCAAGCTCTGCACATGATAAAACAAACGAGGGATGTGTCAATCAGCTATATGGAAATCACTTTTGGGAATTCTCAAAAGTGATTTCCACAAAATGATGTTGCCCGACTCAGAAAATCTCCTGCAAGCTCTGCACACTGCTTTTGAGTCGACTCAATTGCAAGTTCAACTCAGCTCAACCCAGTTCTTCACACCAACTACTCCTCGCATCTTTCTCTTCTAAACCCTCCCTTCTCCATTGCCCTCAGTACTCTCCTGTCCCACTCTGCTCCCATCGAGGTGACTTTTGGGTCGACTCAAAAGTCACCTCGTCACCCTCCTCCCTTCTCCATGCCCCTTAGCACTCCCCTGTCCCACTCTGCTCCTATCCCACTCCCTTGTCTCTCAAAAAACGGTTTCTTTTCACCCTTCTTCAGTCCCTCTTACCTCACACGCTCGCAGCAGCGAGTTTATTTTTGAGGCGCCTCAAAAATCAACTTCTTGAGCCCCTCTTACCTCACACGCTGACTTTTGAGTCGACTCAAAAGTCCATCTTACCTCACACGTTCGCAGCAGCGATTTGATTTTTGAGGCGCCTCAAAAATCAACGTCTTCAGTCCCTCTTACCTCACACGCTCGCAGCAGCGTCCGTATTACTTTCTCCAACGTCCCATCCTCCTCTCTCTCTATCTTCCTCATCCTACTTCCATGTCTCACAAACACCATTGCTTTCACCCAGCTGAAGTCCATCTTACCTCGCAAGCTCGCAGCAGAGTCCAAATCACTTTCTCCAGCGCCCCATCCTCCTCCCTCTCTACCTTCCTCATCTTCCCATACACCTCCATGCCCCTCCGCACGTCCTCCCTCCCCGCCTCCCCCTCTCCCCCACGCCCCACACACGCCCCTACGATATGCGAGCACCAGAGGGGGAAGAATCGGCTGCTGTGATAGCCGCGAGTTGTGATTATATCGAGGAGGGATGATGCCTCGTCGGCAGCCCGCAGTGCTTCTAGTGAAGGTGCGTATAGCTGGCGGGGAAAGGAGGGGTGGGCGGGAGGGCAGGTGTGGGTGAGGGTGTGAGAGAGGAGCGAAAAATGCATGAATGAACGGTGAGAGAAGTGTCAAGATGATTGGCATAGCATGGTATGACATAGCACGGCGTGGCATAGTATGACATGGTGTGGCAAGGAACGGTATGGCATGGAACGGTATGGCATGGAACGGCATGGCATGGAACGGCATGGCATGGAGTGAAAGCGAGACTTGGTATGGCTTACTAATGCCCAACGCATCAACCACGTTTTACCGACACATGCACACCACGGCTTACCGAGATGGTGTACTTATCAATGGGAATTCCCATCCTCTGCATCGCTCCACACACCTCCACAGGGCGCTGCTCTGCCCACCCGCTATGGTCACTACACTACCTGCCTTGCCCTTACAGACACAAGCACACCATGCCTTACTTACCGAGATAGTGTACTCATCAATGGCAATCCCCATGCCCTGCATCGATCCAAACACCTGCACAGGGCCCTGCTCCGCCCACTCACTTCAGTCACTACGAGCCTTGCCCTTGCCCATGCACACATGCACACACACCATGGCTTTCTTACCGAGATAGTGTATTCATCAATGGGAATCCCCATGCCCTGCATCGCTCCAAACACCTCCACAGGGCCCTGCGCCGCCCACCCGTTCACATCCTTGTTCGCCTTGCCCTTCGCATCACCAGAATCTGATTCTGCCTCCTGCTGCTCTTTCCCTGCTCTCATACCCATACTGCTGAATTCCTCCTCTTGAGACTCCACAGAAGTAACCCCTGATCCCTGATTCCTGATTGTCCCCTCTTTCAACAGACTCGCTATTAAACTGCTGGAGTCGCCCATTCTCCTACTATCTCCCTCATTAGATCCTGACTCCAAGCCTAATCCAATGACCACCGAAGCTGCAGCCTCCAAGCCTGAGTTACCAGATTCCGGACCTGCAGCCTCCGAGCTTAATATAACCACTTCTGAACCTGCAGCGGCAGCCTCCAAGCCTGCGCCTGAAACCGAACCTGAACCCAAACCCATGGCCATGCTGACCATGCCTGAACTCGAGGCTGATCCTCCAGGGCCGGCCTCCGAGCCTGATTCTGTACCCAAACCTTGGCTGGAGGTTCGGGGGCTGGGCCTGCGCAGGGGATAGAGGGTGAGCATCACACCTCCCCCAGGAGAACCTCCCTTCCTCGCCTTGCCATCTGGTGAGGTGCCACTGCTGCTGCCACTGCTGCGGTTACTGCTGCTGCTGCTGCCATTTCTTCTGTGGTTTCCACCCTTTGTGTCGCCCTTAGCGTTGTCAGTTGGTCCTCCCAGCATAACCATAGTCTGCACCGACTCCACCGACGGCATCAGCTGCACCGTTTGCACTGCTCCCACCGGCTGCAGCCGCCTCGCATGGGCTTTCAGCAGAGCGTTGAAGGAGAACGTGTCCGCCTGCAGGCCGGCCTTCCGGCGCCCCTTTCCTGAGGAGAACGCGTCCGCCTGCAAGGAGGAGGGTCTCAGTCTCAGACCCTTCTGCTGGGAATCCATGGGAGGAGAGAAGTTTCCAGAGGGCAGGAAGAGGCGCGAGAAGAGGGCAGCAGTGCGCCGCACATCCCCTGTGGACGCCAGAGCATCCAGCAGCGCGTTGGCTGTCTGCTGCTGCAGAAATACCCCGGCTGCCTGTGCCCTCCCCACTACCTGCTCTGCCCGCTCGCTCCGCCCTGCCCGTGCCATCACCGCCACCATGCCTGTGAGGCACGCTGGCGTGGGGCGGATTCTGGGAGGGGAATGGGGAGGGGGCGGGCGGGTTTGGAAAGTCAGAGCTTGAGAGGCGAACATCCCCTGTATGTGAAAGCAAGAGCATCCAGCAGCGCGTTGGCTGTCTGCTGCTGCAGCGCCACCCCGGCTGCCTGTGCGCTTTCCACCTCCTGCTGTGCTCGCTCGCTCTTCCCTGCCCGTGCCATCACCGCCACCATGCCTGTGAGGTTGTGGGGCGGATTCTGGGAGGGGAATGTGGGGAAGGGGAGCAGGGGGAGAGACAGGAGAGGATGGGGGAAAAGGGGTGGTGGGAGGGAGCGCATTAGCTGTGTGCTGCTCCACTGCTGTGTGCTGCCTGTGCGCTCTCTGTCACTTCCTCTGCCCGCTCGCTCCTCCACACCCGTGCCAGCACTGCCATCATTCATGTCAGGGACGAGGGGGGGCGGGGGGCAGGGGATGGGGAGGAGCACGGGTAGGGGAAACACAGGGATAGTACTTCGAGCAACTCCTCTCACTCACTCCTCACCCACCCTCACCCACCCTCACCCATCCTCACCCACCGTCACCCACTCACCCGCCCCCTTCCCACTCACCCGCCCCCTTCCCACTCACCCTCGTCGTTCCATGAAAGCCCACACAGCATCAGCCTCCCACCACAGGCCCCGTCGCCTGCACGCACTCAGAGCAGCGCTGCACATGTGCGCATCTGCTTTGATTGACCTCTTGGTGGACTGAGTTGACTGAGTTGACTGAGTTGACAGAGAAGACATGAGTGGACCAACCCTTTCTCTCTTCCTGCCCCTGCTTCCCTTTCCTCCTCCTCCAATCATCCTCCCCTCATTCCCTCCCCCTTCCCCCTTCCCCCTTTCCCCTCCTCCCCCACCCATCCCCCCCTCCCTCCCCCCCACAGCTTCCCAGAACACCTCCAACGCGCCTTCATCCTGCCCTAGCGCCACCTTCGCTAGAATCACCTCCGTTACAGTCACACAGTCCGGCTTGACACAAACTCTTCCCTGCCAGTCAACGCCTTCTGACAGAACCCCGTTATAAGCACTTTCTCGACGCAAATTCGTTATAAGCTCATCCTCGGTTCCTGCTGTCCTACAAGCACTGTCATCACCGCTACCAATGCTACCACTGCCACCACTACCACTACCCACACTCCTTCCTCTGTAGTCTGGCTGTGAGCCACTGATCCTTGCTGGTCCTTGATGCTTCTGGATCCACTCATGAGTCACTACTCGACCTGCTTCAAGCAACCCCAGCAGCTCCCTCACACCCTTCTCCTCCTCATCCCACCCCCTCTCACCCTTCCTCACTACCTTCTCACCCCTTCTGACTGCTTTGGCCTTGCTGCCCTCTTCCATTTCTTGCAGCTGTCTCTCCAGCACCAGCAGCCTCCCTGTTCGGCCAAATTCAGCCCAGTCTCCCAAAGTCAAACGAGTCAACCTCCCACGCTTCCTCCCCTCCCTCTCCCCTCCTCCCCCCTCGTTGCCCTCTCCCTTCCCACGTTCAGCCAACTCCCCATCTCTCTTTCTATCCCCTTTTCCCCTCACCAGCACGTCCCTCTCAAAGCTCTCCTCCTCCTCCTCCTCCCTCCCTGTCAGCAGGTCATACAGCAGTATTCCTGCTGCCGCCCGGTCGGCTCGTCTCATAGCCGGCATCAGCGTGTTGAGGGTGGCGGCGTCCGGCAGCATGTGCGGCGCACCACCATGAACAGTGCCACCGTTATTATCACCACCATCAATAGTGGCGGCCTGCGCCATCCACCTGAGCCCAGCAAGCATCTCAGGGAGGGCGGCGGCAGGCGGAAGCGCCAGCTGGCAGACGTGGAGATACTCGTTGAACGCGCGGAGCTGGTGGGAGGTACCGGCGGGGGGGGGAAGGGGGGGGGGGGGGGAATTCATTGGGGAAGCAGTGGCAATGGCAGGGGAAGGGGAGTGAGTGATGGGAGGGGAGATGGTGGCAGCGCCAGCTGGCAGACGTGGAGATACTCGCTGAACACTCGGAGCTGATGGGAGGTACCGGGGGTGAATGGGTGAATGGGGACAATGGGAGAGGAGTCGGACAGTAGGAGAGGAAGGGAGGTTGTGATGGGGAGGGGAGGAGGCGGCAGCGCCAGCTGGCAGACGTGGAGATGCTCGTTGAATGCCCAGAGCTGCAGGCAGAAACGAGAAGTTCAGTAGGGAAGCGGAGGGATAGGGGATACTCGTTGGACGCGTGGAGCTGCAGGTAGCAATCGGGGCGAATGGGACAGTGGGGAAAATGCGGGGGAATGGGACAGTGGGGAAAATGCGGGGGAATGGGACAGTGGGGAAAATGCGGGGGAATGGGACAGTGGGGAAAATGCGGGGGAATGGGACAGTGGGGAAAATGCGGGGGAATGGGACAGTGGGGAAAATGCGGGGGAATGGGACAGTGGGGAAAATGCGGGGGAATGGGACAGTGGGGAAAATGCGGGGGAATGGGACAGTGGGGAAAATGCGGGGGAATGGGACAGTGGGGAAAATGCGGGGGAATGGGACAGTGGGGAAAATGCGGGGGAATGGGACAGTGGGGAAAATGCGGGGGAATGGGACAGTGGGGAAAATGCGGGGGAATGGGACAGCGGGGAAAATGCGGGGGAATGGGACAGTGGGGAAAATGCGGGGGAATGGGACAGTGGGGAAAATGCGGGGGAATGGGGGTGGCAAGGGGGGAGGAGGAGAACGTGAGAGGGGGGGCAGAGCCGCAGAGGTTGCGTTAGACATGTGAAAGAAGAGTGTTTTTGAGACGTCTCAAAAACACTCTTCTTCCACAAGAGGGTGAGAGAGGGGCCACTCCTGCAGAGGTTGCGTTAGACGTGGAGGCTCACTTTGGTTTTTGAGAATTCTCAAAAACCAACAGGGGCCAGAGCTGCAGAGGTTGCGTTAGACGAGGAGGCTCACTTTGGTTTTTGAGAATTCTCAAAAACCAACAGGGGCCAGAGCTGCAGAGGTTGCGCTAGACGAGGAGGCTCACTTTGGTTTTTGAGAATTCTCAAAAACCAACAGGGGCCAGAGCTGCAGAGGTTGCGCTAGACGTGGAGGCTCACTTTCTATTCCCTCAACCCCACCCATCACGCCCACTCACCGACACTCTCTGCAGCCCCATCTTGCTCTGCAAGTCACACAAGTCTTTTTGAGTCGACTCAAAACTCACCGACACTCTCTGCAGCCCCATCTTGCTCTGCAAGTCACACAAGTCCCCTTTCACCACGGCCCACGGCGTGCTGTTTGCTGCTGCGGTGCTAATGGCTGTCTCGCTAGCGAACTCCAACACACTACCACTCCGACGTCACTCTCCTGAATCTTAGTATGCCCGCTGGTTTTTGAGAATTCTCAAAAACATGCCCCACTCACCGACACCCTGTGCGCCCCCATCTTGTCACGCAAGCCACACAAGACCCCTTTCACCACGGCCCACGGCGCCCTGCCTGCTGCTGCAGCCCGCATCGCCGTCACACTTGCAAACTCCAATGCACTGCCACTGGACGTTCTCTCACGCCCCTCACGCCCTTCACGCCCCTTCTGAATGGTGGGGCCAACGAATGGCTGCCTGTTGTCATTTCCGTCACCGTAACCCTCCTCCTCGTCACTCTCCTTCTCATCTTCATCCTCATCTGATCCATCACCCGGCCACACGTCCTTTTCCCCACGCCTCCCTTTCTCCCTGCTTATGTTGCTGCTGCTGCTGGTACTACTGCTGCTGTTGCTGCCATTGCTACTGTTGAGCTGCCAGTCAAACGAGTCAAGAAAGTCAACAGCTTTCTTCCACTGCCCTCCATTCCTGTAGGCCAATATGAGCTGCAAAACACGCAGGGAAATACAATAGTACAAATTACGGTAAAATAAACGGCTATTTGAAACAAGTAAGCTGCATAAAATGTATAAAGCGTACAAATCTACACGTCACCTTGCAAGCAGCCACGTCACTTCCCTCCACACCGCAAGCCTCCATGTCACCCCATGCCGCCTCCGCCCTCCTCCAATCTCCCTCCCTCGCATACGCCCCCAGCAGCACACTGTATGAATACACATCCGGTTTCACATCCCGTTTCACTTTTGGTTTCAAGTCCAATTTCACAACCCTCCCTCCTCCCTCCACTACGTGTGGGTCAATTCTTGGCGATTCTGTTTTGTCGACAAGCACGGCTCGTCTTGTGTGCTCCTGTGTTTCTTCTCCTCCTTCTCCCCACACTCTCCCCCGTTCAAGCAGTGCTTGCACCATCCCCTCTGCTTCTCGCACCCTGCCGGCTTCACACAGGGCGAACAGCACTGCGTTGTATGCCGTGATGTCGGGCGCAGGGAGAGAAGGAGGAGGATCAGTGGCAGCAGCAGTGGCAGCAGCAGTGGCAGCAGCAGTGGCAGCAGCAGTGGCAGCAGCAGTGGCAGCAGCAGTGGCAGCAGCAGTGGCAGCAGCAGTGGCAGCAGCAGTGGCAGCAGCAGTGGCAGCAGCAGTGGCAGCAGCAGTGGCAGCAGCAGTGGCAGCAGCAGTGGCAGCAGCAGTGGCAGCAGCAGTGGCAGCAGCAGTGGCAGCAGCAGGGGCAGCATCACCACTTTCCTCTATCCCACCGGCTTCGCACAGGGCGAACAGCACTGCGTTGTATGCTGTGATGTCGGGCGCAGGGAGAGAAGGAGGAGGATCAGTGGCAGCAACAGTGGCAGCAGCAGTGGCAGCATCACCACTTTCCTCTATCCCACCGGCTTCACACAGGGCGAACAGCACTGCGTTGTATGCTGTGATGTCGGGCGCAGGGAGAGAAGGAGGAGGATCAGTGGCAGCAACAGTGGCAGCAGCAGTGGCAGCAACAGTGACAGCATCACCACTTTCCTCTATCCCACCGGCTTCACACAGGGCGAACAGCACTGCGTTGTATGCCGTGATGTCCGGGGAAGGGAGAGGAGGAGCAGGAGGATCAGTGGCAGCAGCAGTGGCAGCATCAGTGGCAACAGCAGTGGCAGCTTCACCACCTTTCTCCATCCCACCAGCCCCCTCCCCATCGTCCCCCTCCTCCTCCATCCGTCTCAGCAGCAGCAAAGCACCATCCACGCCGCGCAGATTGCCCAACTCCTCAATCCCTTTCACCCCATCCGCCTGCCTCTCCTGCCTCTTCTCTCCTCCACTTCTCCACTTCCCTCGCCCTTCTCCCCTCCCCTTCCCTTTCCCATCCAGCCTTCCCAGTGCGACCAGCACATCAGTGTAGTGGGCCACACTCCCCCTCCACCCACCCCCTCCCCTGCTGCTGCTGCCACTGCTGCTGCTGCTGCTGCTGCTGCTGCTGCTGCTGCCACTGCTGCTGCTGCTGCTGCTACAACCACTGCTGCTGCTGCTGCTGCTGCTGCTACTGCTGCTGCTGCTACTGCTGTTACAACCACTGCTGCTGCTGCTGCTGTTGTTGCTACTGCTGCTGCTGCTACAGCTGTTACAACCACTGCTGCTGCTGCTGCTGCTGCTGCTGCTGCTGCTGCTGCTGCTGCTGCTGCTGCTGCTGCTGCTGCTGCTGCTGCTGCCACCATCAGCACGTCTCGCCTTTGCTGCTGCGTTGGCTGCTGCTCCATCTGCCGTTCCTTCCGCTGCTCTTTCTGCCGCTGCTGCTTCTGCTTCCCACGTGTCATTTTCTAGGCACTGAAGAAGCTTCCACGCTGTTTCGCCCTGGCCGATCACCCCTAGCCTCTGTAAACAGTAGCAGGAAGCGGGCAGGGAAGCAGGAATCATGGAGGTCTCTTTTGAGGTGCCTCAAAAGTCATGGAGGCACGCTGGTTGAAAGAGAAAGGTAATCAAGAATCATTTCGTCACACCTGAAGGAGAGGCAAAGACTTCAATGATGTATAAAATAGAATGATTCATCACCTGTTGAAGGAGTAGGAGGGACAGGTGAAACAATGGCAGCAGAGACGATAGGGAGAGAGAGTGCAGCATATGCCCAGTAATTCACCCACCTTCACCACGGCATGAAAGTGCCTGTGATCGCTCTTAAGCCAGTCTGCAAGCGTTCTCACATCCACCAGTTTCTCCTGCATCTGCTCTTGCTTCTGCTGTTGCTGCTTCTGATGTCTGTGGCGGTGTCTTAAGAGAGTGAGCAGCGCCGCTTTCACCTGGCGGAGGTAATAGAAAGGGAAAGCACCAGAGCGCGAGGAAGAGTCACGGGGAGCAAACACCGGAGGAAGTGATCAAGAGGAGGAAACAACGCCTCAGTAGGGACCAAGGGCCGAAAAAAGTCGGGGAAAGTAGAAACGACAGGGATGCTGTTAAGAGGAAATGAGATCATGGTGGGAGTAAATAAATACTGTCACCATGTTCTCCCATGTCACCATCCATGGAAGGATGGATGGAGGAGTTAGGAATGGAGACGGTGGGAGGGAAACCGTGAAGGGCCGAGGAGGAGGAAGATAGCGAGGGTTCGGAGTGAGCGGGATGAGGAAAAGAGTGAGTGAAAGGTCAAAGTCAGTGTTGGGTGCGAAAGGAGAGAGTGAGTGGAGGTGACACAGTCGGTGTAAGGGGAGTAGCAACTGACACAGTGGGCGGCAACATCTCGGAAGCTTCTGCCGCCGTTGGTAAGGGAGTCAGACGAAGTTGCCAAGAAAGCGCGCTCCTGACTCCAATCTTCCCGAGCAGTGACAGCAGCAACGTCCCAAGATGCACTCCAAGATGCGGTAGTGAAAGCACTTGTCTCTGCATCTCCCCCTGCCACTGCTGTCCCCGCACCCCCTGCTGTCCCCGCACCCCCTGCCTCCTCTCCCCCCGTCCTTATCCCTCCCTCTGTACCACCATCCGCGGTCCTCCCCATTCCATCATCCTCTTTCCCCCCCGCCTCAAGCACCCCCCAAGGCCCCTCTTACCCCTGCCTCTCTTTCCCCCCAGCCCCCTTTCCCCCCTGCCTCCCCTGCCCCCCATGCCCTTCCCCCCCTTCTCTCCTCCAGATTCCTCTCCTCGCACCGCTCGCTTTCCGCCGTCCGGCCGCCGATCTCCTGATCGTTGGTCTCGCGATCGCAGCCGTTCGTTCCGCTGACGCGCCATCTCCCAGCGAGTCCCCACCGTCTGCTACCACTTCCGCCCGCGGCGCTGCTCTCCTTCCACGCGCGCGCGGCGCGGCGGCAGCGCGGAGCAGAGAGGACGGCGCGGAAAGGGTGAGGGAAGGGGAAAGCAGCGGAAAACGCGCGAGCAGCTTTTGCTGACCCCCACGAGCAATGGTCCGCGCCGGATGGCGCGGAGGGGGTCGGTAAACGACGAGAAGCGCGGGAGTACGCCCGTGCGGAGTGGCTTCGGGAAGGGAGGCGGAAGCTGGCGCAGCGGAGCAGGCGGAAAGCGCTGCTTGGTGATTCAAGGATTCCATTTCCCCTCACATGAATTTTGATCAGGGAGGGACTGACTGGTCAATGTAAAACGGGAATGGAAATGGAATGGACCTAGATATTGACGTGGCTTTTCCCCGTTACTGCCAGACACTGGTCCTCATATAGCGAGAATGTCAGGGGACAGTAAAATAACAAGTAATCTCGTTTCTAGGGGTAGGAAAGCTTAGTACCCTGATTTTACATAGCACAGTAATATTGCGATTACAGATCAGAAATTTAATTCTTACCACACTGAAAAAATCACAAACAGGGATATTTACAAGCTTATTACATGTACACATCTTCCTACAAAGAGCAAACTGGGACCTCCCATAGATGCATTTACCTTCTAGTTCCGTCAGTGCAGGTAGGGAGGGAGGTCTGAAGCTGGGTTGCCTGCCAAGGTTGCGTGCTTGGTATCAGAAGCCGCTGTTGCATTTACACTCTAGTACTGACAATGCATGCAACATGGCATCCATTGTGAAGGGATTTACTCCGATGCGGTAAGGGGGGGGGGGTCCGATGCTGAGTTGCCTGCCAAGGCTGCTTGCTTGGTATCTGCTGCTTTTTGCCGCGTTGCCTGGATTGCTGGCTTGCTGTAAGCGAGGATTTGAGCAAGCAGCACCCCGTGAGCCATGAAGCCAGCCGTGCTTGCTTTCACCACTGCGCGCGGACAAGTGAAAGAGAGGGAGCAAGACAGTAATACGATAAGGCATAGTCATCACCCCCCCAGCATGAAGCCATGCTTGCTATCACCACTGCGCGCGGACAAGTGGAAGAGAGGGAGCAAGACAGTAATACGATAAGGCATAGTCATCACCCCCCCAGCATGAAGCCATGCTTGCTATCGCCACTGTATACAGACAAGTGGAAGAGAAAGAAACAGTCAGTCAGCCTAGCTGTCAGTTGATTGCTATGAGAATACCAACACCTCACGAACAATGGAGAATACCACCATTGCGTTGCAAAAACGTCTGCTGATATTTCTGTCGACTCCAATTTTGACCGTAGAAACTTACTGCTGAAAGGTGCTCTCTCTTGGATGCTGGTGAAGAATCGGGCTGTTTGTGGCACACACAGTGGCAGAGAGGGACGAGGAGTGATAGATGCATGGAGAGGAAGAGAGAAGAGAAGAGAATTAACATACCAACATCTGAAGAGAAGGAAAGAAATAACATACAACTCTCTTAGGACTCCGACTGACACGTTCTCAAAAGCACTTGTTTGGGTTGCATTTTAAAAATTCCTTGCACTTGCATGGACGACTTAAATGGAAGCTTGGTGCGGCATACTGACCCGCACACCCTGCTGCGCTCATGGCACTGGTGGTGAGGGACAGCTGACCCGTGCTGGATGACTGAGAGGGGCAAGCAGGAGTGGGGGGAAGGGGCGGGGGGCGAGAGGTATGTGCAGGAAAAAGTACGCCCTGCTAACTTGTATACCCTTATGCGCTTATGGCACTGGTGGTGAGGGACAGCTGACCCGTGCTGGATGACTGAGAGGGGCAAGCAGGAGTGGGGGGAAGGGTAGGAGGGACTAGTACGAAATGCATCGAAAAGGGCTTTTGAGTCCATCCATAAGTCATCATTGTGTAGATGATAAGGTGTATGAAATGGACAAGTG